TATCTTAGGTAAATGGATAAATCATTTGAGAGATATATGTTATCAACGTTCACTTGAGAAAGAGCAAACAGATAACTTCAACAGTGACAACCAAGCAGGGTTTAGTTCAGAAATGCATGAATAGTTTTAACACTTGAAAACCAATTTAATTCATTATAGTAACAAACTAAGAAAAAAATGCTATCTTAGGTACTTTTCTGTTGCTGTGATTAAAATCATGACCAAGACAACTTATAAAAGAAAGCATTTAGTATGGTTTATGGCTTCAGAGGAGTAGAGTCCATGGTGGTGGAGAGAAGGAACCGCTGAGAGCTCACATCTTGATCCATAGCCATGAAGTAGAAAGAAAGACACTGGGAGTCACAGTCTTTTGAAACCTCAAGATCCAGTGACACACCTCCTCCAACAAGGATACATCTCCTGATCTTTCCCAAATAGTTTCACCAACTAGAGACCAAGCATTCAAATATATGGGGGCCATTCTCTTTTTATTTTTTATTTTTTATGTGCATTGGTGTTTTGCCTGCATATATATCTGTGTGAATGTGCTGGATACCCTGAAAATGGAGTTACAGACAGTTGTGAGCTTAGGCTTGTCTCAACTAGCTCCTATAACAAATTAACCCATTTATATTAATCTACCTTCTATCATGTGGCATTACTCTTCTTCCATCTTGCATCTCCTGTTTCTTCTCCATGTTCCCTGGCATCTCGCTGGCATAATCTGAGCACTTAGATTCCTCTTCCTTTTCCTCTCTCTATCTGAAAATCCCACTTATCTGCTTAGCTATTGGCCATCCAGCTCTTTATTAAACCAATCAGAAGGCACCTTAGGCAGAGATATATCTTTACAGGTGTACAGAAGTATTCTGCAACAGAACACCTGCTCTATTCCAGGCACAGGTGAACACTGAGACGTGAAGAAAAATCATGTTCAGTCTTGATACTCTAAATATCCATCTTTGGGAAGGATCAACATATAAACACACACATGAAATATAAAGTGACTAGGGAGAGTTTAACTGGCCAGACAAGTTTTGGAAAAGAACCTGCAATTCAAAAATATCTTTTCCGCTCTTCAAATTTCTGCCTCAGCAGTGACAGTCCTCATGTGGACAATACAAATGATACTACAGAGCCAGATACCTTGCCAAATGTTTTGGAATTCTTTGTGTCTGTCATCGTGGTGTGTTGGGACATTTTAAATGCATGCATATGTCTAAGGATGCTGATGGGTTGTGTCCTGGTTTTTGTTGTTTTGCCAGCTTGACACAAGCTAAAATCATCTGGGAGAAGGGAACAGCAATTGAGAAATCACTCCCAACCGAATGGCCTGTAGGCAAGCCTGTGAGGCAAATTCTTGATGAATGATTGGTGTGGGAAGAAGACCCAGCTCACTGTGGTTGGTGTCATTCCTGGGCAGGCGGTCTGAGCTGTACAAGAAAGCAAGCTGAGAAAGCCATGGAAAGCAAGCCAGGAAGCTGCATTACTCATGGCTTCTTCTTCAGTCCCTGCCCCCAGGTTCTTGCCTTGAGTTCCTGCTCTTAGTTCCTTTCATGATGGGCTGTGATGTGGACTGTGAGCTAAAACAAATCCTTTCCTCCCCAAGTTGCTTTTGGTCATGGTGTTCCATCACTGCAACAGAAACCCTGACTAGGATGGGTAGACTCTATTTGTAACGAATGGACGACTGTGAGTGTTTTGAGTATGGGCCACAACAAGGTAGTGTCATGAGGATTAGGTAGACCGTGCAGATGAAGCTCTTAGCACCATGCCTGACAGAGCTCCAGCCAAGTGAGCCTTGTTGTGTGGAAGAGTCTGATTGTACATTGAGATGCTTGGACAGTAGAGGGAGCACAATCATTAGGAACCAGACTTGAGAAACCTTAGCTCAGCATTCTCAACCTGTGGGCTGTGACCCCTTTGGGGGTGTCAAATGGCCCTTTCATAGGGGTAACCTAAGACCATTGGAAAACACAGACATTTACATTACGGTTCATAAGAGTAGCAAAATTATAGTTATGAAGTAGCAATGAAATAATTTTATGGTTGGGGGTCGTCTCAACATGAGGAACTGCATTAAAGGGTTGCAGCATTAGGAAGGTTGAGAACCACTGTCTTAGATTTTCTTTTCTTTCTTTCTTTCTTTCTTTCTTTCTTTCTTTCTTTCTTTCTTTCTTTCTTTCTTTCTTTCTTTCTTTCTTTCTTTCTCTCTCTCTCTCTCTCTCTCTCTCTCTCTCTTTCTTTCTTTTCTTTCTTCTCTCTCTCTCTCTCTCTTTCTTTCTTTTCTTTCTTTTTTGTTTTTTCAAGTCAGGGTTTCTCTGTGTTGCCATGGCTGTCCCAGAACTTGCTCTGTAGACTAGGCTGGCCTGGAACTCATAGAGGTCTGCCTACCTTTGCCTCCCAAGTGCTGGGATTAAAGGTGTATACCTCCACCACTCAACTTTTATTAAGCCCTTTTTTTTTTTTTTTTTTTTTTAAGAAGACTTGTTCTGATTCTGATGAAGCTGGAGTGACCTGAATACAGATGATCTGGGAAGACCTACATCAGGCTGTCTTGTCCCAATAACATTCACAGTACCATTCACCTGGTCCTGGCACATGCTACTGAGGAGTGGGATATGGTTTTATGTATGTGTATAGTCTGTGTGTCCATCATCCCAGTTCAACTCAAGAAACATAACAGAGGAAGCTTGGAGAAGGGCGATAAGGTCTACCACAAGATGAAAACCAATACATGCTTATATTATTTATACAAGAAATGGCAGGAGATGGAGCTGATTTAATTCTCTTTCTAGCAATAACAGTGATACCTCCCTCTTCCTCTATCTATCTATCTATCTATCCATCTCTCTTTCCATAGATATATTCTCTATATCTCTCCTCCAAAATAAGTAGCTGTCCTTGGTAGAACAGAAAAGTTCAGTCGGGTGAATGGATGTGGCTCCATTCTGCTCCTTGTTTTACCGCGTGACCTGCTGCCCCGGGCCTCTCCTTTTGCATCCACTTACCATCTATATAATAAGGGAGAAGAGAGAGGAGGAGGATCAACCTCTGACCTCCAGAGTTCCCTGTAACTTTGACAAATTATTCTTTTACCAACAGCTATTATTGACATTCCTCCTACCTAATTACCTACACTAGCTCTCTGATCTTGCCACACATTTGATATAGAATCTATATTACCCTTTCTATGGAGAGGAGTTTGGCACTCAGAGAGTTCAGGTGAGTGACACTACCAGCAATAGGCACCGCAGGGCCAGAATCTGCAGAGCTGTGATGCACCAACATGGGGGTGCTCAGCCATTTTTAAAAAGTGTTAAGGTGTCTCAAGAACCCTTTGAGAAGAGCTGGTGGAGTCACATGGGGAAAGAGAAGACACCCTGTTTTCTGCAGCAGACACTCAGCAGTTAAATGTAACAATGAGGAGACAAAAACCAATGTGACTGACACTCCAAGGCAGGAAGTAAAAGTGTCAGGTAACTGGTCCCTACCCTTGCTGTCCAGGATGGGAGCCACTAGCCACCAGGGGCGTTTAGACACATGAAAGAATGTAGTCCCAACTGAGAACTCCGGGACTCTAGGTATTCAGCGTGAAGGAGCACCGAGGAGCTTACATACAAATTTAAGTTTTTACATTGATTGTACCCAGGAATGTTAATATTTTGTGGTGATTTGTGCTATTGAAGCTAATTCATCCTATTTTTCCTATTTAAATGTGGATGAGCCCCAGGAAATGGCTCAGTGTTGGTAAAGCACTTATGTTCAAGTACTTGAATATAATTCAAAGACTTAAATTAGGATCTCCAGAACCCATGTGAAGCTGGATGGGACAGTGCAGGAAAATCTCCAGCAGCTTTCAGGCTGCCTTGTCTGGCTGACTCAGTGGTCACAGGAATTCCTGTCTCCAACAGAGTTAGCAGGCAAAGACTAACACTGGACGCCGTTCTCTGACTTTCACTTGAGATCTGTAGTGTGCCAGCACGCACACAGTGCCCTGCACACACACACACACACACACACACACACACACACACACACACACACACACACACACACACACCCTGGAAGTGAGAGGGAGGGAGGAAGAGAGAGACTGAGAATAAGAACATGAGGGGGATCTGGGATCTGAAAATCCAGGGAGTGCATTGTTTCTCTCAGACAGCGGTGGTTTGGAAAGAATAATAGAAATTCAAGGTAGGGAAAAGTACTGTGGGTCTGGGGCATTGTAAGTCTTCACAAAGGCTGGGATTTCACTGTGCGGGGCGGCTGGGGAGCAGACGCAGTGAGGGACATGGGTAGTGGCCAATCTGCTCCCAGGAGGGAGAAAAGTTTCCTGGGTAGGTTGGGGCCAAACTAAACTGAACTTGGGTGTCAAGAATATGGCCCTGTGGGTATGTAAGCAGAGAACGACTCATAGAAGACACCGGAGTTCTCTAGCAGCTCTTGGATCTCCCGAAACAGGACTTTATTCATGTGGGAACGGAGCCACACAAACTTCTAGAAACCTCCGTGTGGCTAAGCAGCCGCGACCGGGCCCTCCTGAGCTGTAAACACATACAGTTGGCCACAGTGTTGGTCGACACGTGGTGGGGAGTGGGTGACACCCGTGATATTTTGTCACCCGGGAGAGAAGGATCCAGGTGGCGCGCCTGTGGGATGGTCTTGGTGTGATGCAGGCGTCATGCCTCGGTTAGTGTACCCTAGACACGTGTATCCAGGCGGGGCATTGCTCTCTTGCAGTTCACGGGTTTATTTCGCTGAACCTTGTAGACCTGGTTAAGGTATTAATAGCGAAGGTGCTGAGATGGAGAGCCCAGGGGCCACACCCTTGCTTCACTTGGCTCACCTGCCGGTCGGTCCTCAGTGTCTCCAGACAGAAAGTGAGCGTTAGAGCCAAATGGAACGGAGGCTGCAGACCCAGCTCTGCGATTCTAGAACGGGCCGGCGTCACAGAGAAATAAAGACGGAGGCGCACACCACAGTAACCAGGACAAGGTTACTCAGAGTAGGAGGAAGCCGGTCAGAGAGGGCAGACCCTGGGAACCTTCGCAGGAGTTGGCCCAGACCTCTGAGGGAGGCTGTCCTCCGGCAGGAGAGCAGACCTGAGGGAGGTTGGTGTGCCGGTCCTTGTTGTCCAGCCCTCCCGTCCCATCCCAGGGCTGGCTCACCAGAAAAAAAGTACAGGCATCCCAGGCCCTTAGCTGGGGCGGGTGCAGAGGGTCTCCTCTTGTCCGGGGAAGACTGAAAAAACAAAAACAAAAAACGAGTGTGTAGCCCTCACTGGAAGTCTTCTGGTGCTCTGGGGCCGTTTGCACTTGGGAGCCTGGCTTCTGGGCATGGTGGCCGGGCTCCGCCGGGGGCTTCAGCCTGACTCGGCAAAGCGTTTCTAGAACAGAGTGGGTGGGAGCCGACTGAAGTCCCAGAACCGCGAACACTGACGCACAGGAAAGCCTCGAGTGGGTGGAGAAATGCAAATCCCCCAGTGGCATGGCCTCAGCCGCTGCGGACCCTGACGGCCGATTCTGACTTCGGACTTGAGCGGGACCAGCACCCGGACCCAGGGCGAGCCAGGTAAGAGCTCGCACCGCCCGCCCGCGTGTGGCCTCTGGGCGGGCGGAAGGGCTTCTCCGGGCAGCGGGTACGGGGCTGCTTGTTTGACCATGCCTGGGGAAGGGAGGGTGCCTATAAAAAGAAGGGTCTTTCTTCTTACCCTCAAATCACCCAGCAAAGCCGTCTTCCACGGAGCTGAAGTTCTGGCGCGGGTCTTCCTGGAGGAGTGGGGATCACCTCCCCGAAGCGGAGCGGTGGGGTCGGGATCGGGGCTGGGGCTGCGGCGGGAGGTGTGTCCGCGGGGGCCCGGGGAGAGAGCCCTCTTCAGTCTGTGGAATCGGGATGTCTGACCCGAGATGGGCATAACTGGGTCTCAGAGAAACAGCACCCAGCTACGGCAGCGGGACACTGTGGCCCTTGAGAAGTCTGAGTGATGCTGCAGGGTGGGTCGTCCCCTCTGCAAAGGGGTCAGCATCCACGCGGCTGCCTCCCGGGGGTGGACCCCCAAGCCGGGAGGGAGCTGCCAGGCACCCAGGTTTCAGTTGGAAAGTACCTGTCCTGAGGCAGGAGAGTAAGCCCTCAGAGAGTGAAAACAGAGACACCCCCGCTGGAGGTCTGAAAACAAAACCACAACAAACCCCAAAAAACACAACCCAAAACAAACAAACAAAACCCCAAAACCCTTTACTTAATTTCTTAAGGTTTCACTGAATGTTTTAATGTTTATTAACATTTATTTCATGTTTTAGAAAAGTAATTTTTAAAGTAAATTATCAAATCCTCTCGTACCCCATTACCCTCCGAATCTTCTGATCTCCCCAGAGTATTCCCTCTCAACTTTGTGTGTTGTTTTGTGTTTGTTTTAAACCCACCGGGTTCACTTGGTGCTGCCTGTGTATGCGTGGGTGAGGGTGTAAGACTGTCTAATGGAGCACAGGGACCGCACCCCTTCCTCAGCAACCATCCCTTAGCTCCTCAGCCAGGGAGGAGGCTTCCCGGCAAGCTCAAGCCAGCAAGGTCTGCGGGCTTTCATCACCAAGGGCCGCCCGGAGAGCGGGGTCTCTGCACCCTGTTTCAGCCTTGGTTTCAAAGAGTGGCTTTGCCGAGTGATGTAACCGTAAGATAGATTTTCAGTTAGAAAACAGACTCGCCTTCGAACCACAGAAAGGATCTAGCAACAGAAACAATGGAAGTGGCCATGCCGTCTCCAGCCCCACCTCCCCGCCCCCACTTGGGTACCGCTAAACCAAGGCTTTGTTGTTCCCAGATCTGGGAGGTCTGTCAGAGTTGCACACTGTGGGCAGTGGTCACATCCCCTCTTTTGGTCCTCACTTGTTTGTAAAGCCAGAGATGCTTCCTGTCTTGTCGACTCCTGGCTCCATTTATGAAACAGTCACAGAATACCTACAAGGACCAGTTGTGAGTGCTCATGAACAGAAAGTCATAGGCAAGATCAAGATGGCTTCTCTCCCTAACTACTTTCTCCTGAGCGAGCGAAACACCACTTTTTTTTGGGGGGGGGTGTTACACTTTAGAGCATTTAGCAGGAGCTCAAGGAAAGGATGTTTTAAAATGTTCCCCCTGAAATCTGAAGACTGTATGTATATATTCAATTTTTTTCTACAAGCAAAAGGAAGCATGCTGTGCCTCCAAAATGTGTTGAAATATTGTGATTCACAGTGTGAAAGTTTTCCCTCTGACTTAACATTACTGATCAAGAATTCTGCATTCCAAAAGAGCCAAATACAGTAACTCCAGGAGGATTATGTCACAAAGATAGTTCTAAGCTAGGAAGTACATTACCGCCTCCTTGCTGGCCAGAGTGCAGATATATAGATTATATGAGTGGAACACACACTTCTGTGTGTGTTTACGTTGTGTAAATGGGATGGCTTACTCTACTTTAACTTGAGGCCTTAACCATTGTCAGATGCAAGGTAGACTTTGTACGTAAAAAAGCTTTGCCCAGCCATAAATCACACGAGAAAAACAAAAATGTTTATTGGTTTAGAGCTATTTTGCTCAGATATGAGTAGAACCCAGCAGAAGCACAGGCGTGCAGTTCCTCAGGGAGCTGCCACAGAAGTGGCCAGCCCCAGAAGTTGGCTGGAGAGTGCAGACACACATGAGATAGAGAAAACCAGCCTTACACTTTCACATGAGGAAGCTTTGGGAAGGAAGGCAAGGATACGCCCTGGAGGTACAGTCAGTGTGGGGGACTTGTTTACCTTCGGCGTGCTCACTCACAGGGATGGCTAGGGAGGCGGATTGCTGACAACAGACCTCTGTGATGGAGTCTGTGTGGATAGTCGGGGTAGGGCCTGGGGTGTTTGGGAGGAGGGGTGGGACTTCCTGGAGCAGCGGCCTCGGAGGTCATGGTAGGGCAAGGAAGGATGTGGTTTGGGGGGCAGATGAAGTCAGTCCTGCATTAGGGACACCTTTTAAGAAAACACTCAAGGGGAATTGCTGAACATTGGGCTTTAACTGTATTTTCTCCTTCCTTTCTTCTTTGAGAAACTACAAAAGATGATTTTCCCCCTCCAATGAACTAATACCTAACTCTGTCTGAGGCAAAAAAAAAAAAAAAAAAAAAAAAGCCGGCCTTACGGCTCCCCATGAACAGTTTTAAAACTCTCACTTCACCCCCTCTTCTACAGCATGTCTCAGTGGAATCAAGTCCAACAGTTAGAAATCAAGTTTTTGGAGCAAGTTGATCAGTTCTATGATGACAACTTTCCCATGGAAATCCGACATCTGCTGGCCCAGTGGATTGAGCATCAAGACTGGTAGGCTAAGATGGATAGACGCTCTGTGTCCTAACCACATACGTGTACTCTATGGTCTGTTTTTGACTCAGTAGATGCATTCATTTCGGTCAAGGTTTTGAAAATCCTTCTCAAAGGCGAGTTTCGTTTTGTCCACTATAGATGAAAACTTATGGATTTAATGCATTGTCTTTAAGTACCTCTCATCCCAATGGCCTCAGTTACTGGTTCTACAGCTGTGAAGAGACGCCAGAACCAAGACAGCTCTTATAAAAGAATTTAATTGGGGGACTTGATTACAGTTTCAGAGGTGTAGCCCATATTATCATGGCAGGGGGCATGGTGGCTGGTATACATGGCACTGGAGTCGTAGCTGAGAGCTACATCTTGGTCTGCAAGCAGAGAGAGAAAGAGACAGAGAGACAGAGAGAGAGGAGAGAGGGGAGAGACAGGAGAGACGCTGGGCCTGGCTTGGGCTTTTGAAAAAACCACCCCCAGTGACACATTTCCACCAACAAGGCCACAGCTCCTAATCCTTTCAAATAATGCTACTCCCTGGTGACTAAGCGTTCACATCTATGAGCCCATGGGAGCCAATTTTATTCAAACGACTGTACCAATGTTTTAGGCATAAAATGTCCCACAGAAACAAGCCCACTAAACATGTCAGTTCTGTTGTCAGAGACTCCATGCCAGCAAATATTCTTTTTAGAAATCCCTTTCCACTTTCAATGGGAAACATTCACCTCCTTCAAACACACATTTTATTTTCAGCAAGCTCCTTTCCTGCCCCTGGCTGCCTCTAATTTATTAGAATCGTAGGAAGATGAAGGAAACAGCATGCTCTGTGTTTACCATACCAAACTTTGTGCATGAGAATTAATTCAAAAACAGCTGTTTCTATATGAGTATGGGACTGTCCAGTTAATAAACATTTTGCAAAGCTCTGTTTCCCCTATATAATTAAAAATTTCTTTTTGCTTCAGTCATCTTTTCTATTGTGTCAAAATATAAACCACAGAACGAAGGGTTTTAACCACTTTTAACTGTACAGTTTAGTAATAGTTACTGTATTTGCATTGTTTGGGACTTATCACCCCATCTGCAGCACGTAGATCTCTCAGTCTGCAATTCTGGCTCATTAAACAGTAACCTTGGTCCTCAAAACTCAGTTCCAATCTGTTCTCTCTCTCTCTCTCTCTCTCTCTCTCTCTCTCTCTCTCTCTCTCCCCCCCCTCTGTCTCTCTGTCTCTCTCTCCCCTCTGTCTGTCTCTCTGTCTCTCTTTCTCTCTTGTCTACAGATTTGAGCATGGGAGTACTGTGCATGAGGGAATCACATATGTTTTCCTCTGTGGCTGACTTATTTCACTGGATATAACATTCTTCAGATTCATTCTTGTTTGCATGTACCAGAGTTTTCTTCTGATTTGAAGCTGAATAGTATTGCACTGTGTGGATACACTACCTATGATCAGAACCCTGGACTTACTGATGGACATTTTGGTTATTCTACCTTTAAATTGCCATTGTCAATAAAGTTGCTAGGAGCAGCCCGATGCGAACTCCTGGTCTCATCCTGACTGTTTGCATCTAGACCTAAATACCGAGCTGTTGGGTCATTTGGCAATTGTGTGTATTATAACTAACTGTTAAACTTTTCACACTGTAAACCACCACTTTCCATTCCATTCAGCAGTATATAAAGGCTTCAATTTCTTGCTGTTTTTGCCAAGATTTGTTTTCTGATTTTGTTTTGATTTTTTTTAATTAATAGGCATTCCAATGGGGATGAAGTGGTATCGTATTGTAGTTTTAATTGATAAAACTCTAATGATTAGTGATGTTGAAGTTTTTCATGTGTTCAACTTTTAAAACACTTAGAATGCTTATCACTGTGTAATCAATCTGACATTTTAAAATGTATATGGTAGAGAAATAAATATTTTATTAACTGTTACTTATTGGTGAGTAACACCTTGGACATTTTTATTTATTTTAGGGAGGTGGCCTCTAACAATGAAACTATGGCAACAATTCTTCTTCAAAACTTATTAATACAATTGGATGAACAGTTAGGTCGTGTTTCCAAAGAGAAAAACCTGCTATTGATCCACAATCTAAAGAGAATTAGAAAAGTACTTCAGGTAAGAATGTATTCTACCTTTAAAAAAATGGATGTGCAAGTCTTAAATTTGGGAGAAAATTTGAATATGTACTCTTAAATTACTTTCCAAGCAGATTTAAAGGTAAAATTTTTGTTTCTTCATCATTTAAATTTTTTCTGCTTTTTTTAAAATTATATTTACTTTCAAAAAATTTAGTCTAAGATTCTATGGAAGTGAGAAGAGTGTGTGTGTGTGTGTGTGTGTGTGTGTGTGTGTGTGTGTGTGTGTGACTCATCTGGCTTATTTCTTGGTTATCACCAAGTTTAATATCATGGAAACATTTAAAAGAGCAGCTATTCATGGCTGCCCTATGACCATCCCATGCCTTCTTCTCTTGTATAACAACGAGAGTTAGGATTCTCATCTGTATATGTAAAGCATCATGTATGATGTAGTTGACTAAATAATGTCGATACATTGTTATTAGCTTAAAGCCTGAGTTAACTGAGTACGATTCTAAGGATTTTTTTTTTTTTTTGAGCTGAGGACCGAACCCAGGGCCTTGTGCTTGCTCAGCAAGCGCTCTACCACTGAGCTAAATCCCCAAACCCCGATTCTAAAGATTTTAACAAACATCATTCATCTACCATTACAATGGAAGGGTTTCATCGTGCAGAAGTCTGTGTTTCTCGGTTCCCTCCCCATCTTCACACCGAGGGCCTGAAATCAGTGGCCATTTCCTCCTGAAGTTTGCCTTTTCTTTACGGTCTCACAGTTTGAAACACAAAGTTTGTGGCTTTTTAAAGGACCGATTCTTTAGCAGCAGGCACTTAAAGCCCCTATTTCATGCTGTGATAGATTTATCATTCATCACTAAATAATATTTCAATGTACTTATTTCATTCATTCTAAATGAAATTACTGTTAGGAATCACACGTGGGTTTTCCAAGGGTCTAAGTTTTCATTTCTTCTGAGTCATTACCCAAAACCATGATTTCTAATGTTGCTATTCTGGGACTTGCTGTTTTTTCTCATTCAGCTTCCTTTCTTTCTTCCTCAGATAGAATGATGTACATTCACAATAAAAATGGAAACAATACAAAAAATACAAAGAAAGCTAGAAACAATCCAAAACCTAATTCTTGGAAATGAGCTTGCTAATATTTGATGAGCATCCGTCCGACACTTATCTATGCATGTGTATTTGCAGATAGCTCAGTAGAGTAGATTGAAAGTTCCACCTGCATGACCTCACTCCTGTCTCCACACATCACGTGCATGCACAGATGGGGAGAGAGAGAGTTACCCCCCCCACACACACACACCACAAACTCCCCCTGTCCCTCCCTTCCCTTCATCTTTATCAATGTGTAATTTCTTTGGTATTTTGAGACAAGTTTTCTCTGTGTAGCCTTGGCTGTCCTGGAACTCGCTCTGTAGACCAGGTTGATCTAGAACCCAGAGATCTGCCTGCCTCTGCCTCTCGAGTGCTGGGATTAAAGGTGTGTGCCACCACTGCCCAGCTCTGAAAATAAGTTTTTATTTGTATTTATGGAATATTACAAATTGTGTATCAAATAAATGTTTCCTCATGACCAGAAAGATTTTTTTCCAAAGAGAGTCTACTCAAGTTAACAAAACTATGAAAAGCATAAAATGGTGGAATATATGTACTACTTCAAGCTAAATTTTGACTTTGACTTAAAGATATTAAATGTGAAGAAACTGTTAGCCACCTGTCACCCCATCTCCGTGTTTATTAGCTGCACTTTCCCATTCTGCTGTCAAACTGCAACCTATATTCCTTAATTTTATATTTAATTGGATTCAGTGCACATGAGAACTTTTTACTACTGGTTCTTCATAAGATTTAAACATTTTAATTTATTAATTGTTTAGATTTTAACAAGTAGTTTTTTTCAAGAAGGTCTAAATGATAATCTATAATATTTGAGAACTTTTATGCCTAAGACTATCTGTACTTTAATCATAATTCTTTACTTATCCACTGTGTCTGATATGTGTATGTTCGTGGGTCAGGGTGCCATGTCATGTGTGTGGCAGTCAGAGGACAGCTTTCAGGAACTGATTCTTTCCTTCTGCCAATCAGGTTTCAGGAACTAACTGGAGGTGGGTAAGCATGGCTGTCAGTGCCATTAACTCTCATCAGGCCGGGTCTGCGCTTTAAGGGACGCTGTGGCTGGGTACAGAAACCTTAGGTTGCTTTCTGTAGACATTGCTTTGTAGATGCTGAGGAAATGCTACATTGATCACATGTTTGCTTATGGTTAACATGGCCATGATGCTACTTTACGACGATGAAGCTAGTATAAGCTCTGACCCCTCAAAAATATGCGGGGTGCAATGACAGGATAGTCTCACAGACGCACACCCCCTGTGCACCAGCACCCCTGGTAGGGCAGGTTCATGGAGAAGAGCATGCGTTCTCACAAACTTACGCAGTAAGCTGTCCTTCCCTGTGTACTGGTTCCCTGAGCTGGTTACAGTTGTTTCTGGGCCATCTAGAAAAGGCATGGATTTGAAGGTACAAAGCTTGTTGGCTCAGTCTGAGTACTCAAATGATATCATGCAGTTTGGCGTCTGTCCACTCTCTCTGATACAAAACACCGTGGATGGCTCTCTGGAGCTTTGTTGATATTTTATTTCTCTGAAAACTCATCTATTTCCCTCTTAAGTCGGCTGTGTCCCCAACCGGAGGACGATGTAGAATGGGTTTTCACCAGTCTCTTCCATTTTGTTGGAGTTTTACCTTGTATGTTCGCACCCCTAAAGAATATAGAGCAGGTTTGTGGCCTATTGAATCTCACATAAATGAGATTACACTGTATTTAGACTTCAACAATGTTTCATAGTTCCCAAGACTCATCAGCACCAACCTTGGTTGCAATAGTCTCTCCATTTTTATTACTACACTGTATTCCTATAGTTGGATATATAAAAATTTGTCCACTTTATAGTTGGTAGACACCTGATATATTTACCATGTTCCTTTTCTACTTCAAATATCATTGTCCTGAACATCTGGTATGTGTCCCTTGATACCTTGTAGGAAATTCTCTATAGTACATGTCTAGTGGCAGAACTTCTGAGCTGTGGAGTTTGTATGTCTTTAACTGTGCTGAATGTTGGTGGTATATATCAGCTTATCTTTGTGCTTTTTCTAGCTCCATTCATATGTTTTCTTTTTAATTTTCCTTTTTCATGAATGCATTTAAATTTGTATTTTAACATATACTTTCAATTTGTAATACTTTCATTGTGTATAAATAATCCATAATCCCATCCTTGATCCTTGACTCTTTCTCCTAGATAAACTTTAAAATGACCCCCCTACACACAAACACTGTAGAATAAAGCATAAACACACCTACCAAAATTTAGAGGGATTATAGAATAGTGGAAGTGACAATAGGCAAGATGATTTCCATATGTTCTGAATAAGAGCTCTCAGATACAATAAAACAAAAAGTTCACAGTAAACACAAGACAAATTAAAATACATGGCACCAGAGAAAACAATATGATTATATACAAAAAAAAAAAGAAAAGCAAAACCAGATAACCTACAAAGAAACGAGACTGGGTGCTAAGTTGAAAGCTGTCAGAAGTGAAAAGTTAAAGCAGTTTCTTTCAAAACTAAGATACAAAGTCCACCAGCTTAAGACTCTACCTAAGTTCTTACCAGATTGAAGTGTTCCATGGAAGATTATTTGTTCATCACTGTTTAATGAGTACCTGGCCACACTGTAAGTACTAGGAATTCAATTAGGGGATGTCATGATCTTGCAGTTTAAAGAGTTCGCACTTCCTGTGTTTTGGTTTTTAAATTTAGATGAAATTTTATGGGTAGTTGTGGGATGGGGGCCGCAGGCACGAGTATCTGCCCTGATGCTAGAACCTCTTTTTCTTGTCAATCAGAAAGTTCTGTTCAGAGTTTGGTGCTAGTTCTGTGGTTAGTAATCCCACCACCTGCACAGTGCTTTTCACAGGCCTTGGTGGGAGGCTGAAACTCAGTGGGTGAGGTGATACCAGAAAGTGTAACCTTTAACATACCTGGCCTACACTCTGCTTCACCATGGCCTCTGGGTTGGAGGGCACCTGAGTGTGCTTGGGTAAAAATGTCCTCTTAATTCTGTTAATGTGAGCAAGTGAGTAAGGGACGCACTTGGCAATGCCAGGAAGAAACAACAACAACAACAAAACCAAATTGAGAATTATTGCTTAACAAACTAAGCCCCTCTGAACTCGTCAGATCTTATCCCCAACCCACTGCTTTCTCAGTTCACTCCTCTTCCTTCCCCTTTGCACAACACACACACACACACACACACACACACACACACACACACACACACACACACACGGAGGGAGAGAGAGAGAGTCAAGAGACAGCCACAGTCTAAGCCCTGAAAGGAAAGTGCAGCCGCTTTGTGAAAATCTAAAAGCAGAAGGGTCACACAAAGCATAAACCTCCGAGTAGAAGGTCCTGAACTCCCTTTTCATTCTGCTGCTGAACAGTTCTGTCCGTTTGTCCATCAGTCCACAGAGCTGTGTTACTTCCTCAACCTGAGAAACCCTTCCTCGAGATCTGTCATCCAGACAACTGTCTGGTACCCACCTCACAACACTCACATTTTCAAAGGCTCAGAGACCTGTGTGTTCTTAATTAGTTGTCGGGACTTTATGGCCCGATTTGAAACATGGGACAGGTGGATGGTGTGCAGTTGAACTCCTTGTTTTGGGCACATCACACCAAACTGGAATCTGACACACCAGTCATGGATGTTTCTGAACAGTTCAACTTCCACTCATGGATTGCTTTGTGTGCATTCCTCCAGCCCTTTATCCTCTCTAAGGCTGTTTAGATAGCTCTCTAAGAAATTAAACCTTGGGCTGTAGCGGTGGCCCAGTGGTTAGGAACACTTGCTGCTTTTGCCAAGGACCCAGGTTCAGTCTCAGCACTTACATGATGGCTGACAATTATTCATGCCTCTAATTCTGGATATCGAATCCTGCC